CCGCCGGGACCACCTCGGGGGGCTGTCCGCGCGCCGCCCGAGGCCTGACTCAACCAGGGGCTCCTTTTCTCGCAGCCCGCGCTGGCAACCCCGCTATAGCTCCGGCGGCGGCGCCCAGCTGGGCTGTCTCTGGCCCGGCGTCCGCGGCCGCCTCGGGGGGCCCGGCGCCGGAGCCGGAGGGGTTGCCGGAGGAGCGGAAGCCGGTCCTTTCGGTGGCAGCTCGGAGGAGCCTCCCGCACCCTCTTGCTGGCTCTTGCGAAGCCGTGCTCACCGACGCCAGTCGGCGCTGCTTCGTCCATGACCAGACGCGAATCGACGCTCACGCGCGCTAGAGACGGAATCGCGAGGGGGTGCAAGGCTCCCACGATTGGCTCATGACGGTCCTGGAGAAGAGGTCGTCGGGCGCGCCGAGGCCGTCCTCCTCCTCGTCGTCGAGGTCCATGGGCGGCAGCACCTCGCGAAAGCATCACCCCAAAAAACATCGAAAGGTGAAGAGGCGGGTCGATGAGTCGGAGGTCGGCTTATGAGAATATGTCTTCCTAGCTTCAGTAGGCGCTCCTGGCGACTCCTAGGAAACACGCAACCGAGACATGGGTGAGAGCACGGCCATGTGCACCTTGGCGTTTCTGCTTGTCGAAAGGCCCTGGCCGTTCGGACCAAAAATGTAGCCTGCATCGAAGCGAAACCGCAATTCCGGAATAACGTGTGCGGGCTCTGGAAGTCTCAGGCGAGACGGCTGCCGGACCTGGCAGTCTGGGGCTCCCCGTCCCTCCTGGGGGATCGTTCTGTCTGCTAGAACCCTCGAACCGAGGTGATGAAGAGGAAGCGGAGGAGGAGGAGGTGAGGAGGAGGAGGAGGAGGAGGAGGAAGAGGAGGAGGAGGAGGAGGGGAAGATGAGGAGGAGGAGGAGGAGGAGGAGGAGGAGGAGGAGGAGAAGGAGGAGGAGGAGGAGGAGGAAGAGGAGGAGGAGGAGGGGGAGGAAGAGGAGGAGGAGGAGGAGAAGGAGGAGGAGGAGGAGGAGGGAGGAGGAGGACGACGACGAGGAGGAGGAGGAGGAGGAGGAGGAGGAGGGGAGGAGGAGGAGAGGGAGGAGAGGAGGAGGAGGAGGAGGAGGAGGAGGAGGAGGAGGGGGAAGAGGAGGATGAGGAGGAGGGACGAGGAGGAGAAGGAGGAGGGAGAGGGAGGAGGAAGGAGGAGGAGGAGGAGGAAGAGAGGAGGAGGAGGAGGGGAGGGGAAGGAGGAGGAGGAGGAGGAGGAGGAGGAGGAGGAAGAGGAGACGAGGGAGGAGTAGGAGGAGGAGGAGGGGAGGGAAGAGGAGGAGGAGGAGGACGGAGGAGGGGAGGAGGAGGCGAGGGGAGGAGGAGGAGGAGGAGGAGGAGGAGGAGGAGGAGGAGGAGGAGGAGGAGAGGAGGAGGAGGGGGAAGAGGAGGAGGAGGTAGAGGAGGAGGAGAGGAGGAGGAGGAGGAGGAGGAGGAGGAGGAGCATCTGCCTTTGTTTTCGGCCTTCGCCCGTGGAGACCTGAAGTGGATGAAGGCGTCGTGTGCGGCTTGACGGAGGGGGGGGGCTCTAAGTCGGGCGTGTCCCCCTGCAGGGGGATTCTGGGCGAAAAATAGAAATACTCCAAAAATGCCCCACGAATATCCAAAAATGGTCAAAAATCGCCCCAGACTATTTTTTAACTGTTTTTGAACTTTCCTCCTGTAGAGGGACAGGCCCGACTTAAGGGTGGCTCCGGAGTGACACGTCGGCTCTGGAACAAATGCGGACCAGGAGGGCGCCAGCCCGCAAAAGTTGCGGCCACAACGCCCGCTCGAGAACCGAAAAAGGGCAATGTGCTGATCGACTAGACAGGTGGGGGCCCCTGGAGGCCGAAAACGGCTTGTTTGCGACGCGACCATGTCCAGGAACAGTCAACATCAACATCGAATCGGGGAATCAGGTCGAATCGGAATAAACGTGAAATCGGGCTGCGTCAGCGCGGAACCAAAATCGAATCGGATCGGCTGCGCCAGGATGCGCGACATTGCCATGCGAACTTCGGGCCACACCGAACCGTCGGGCTACTGGAACCGACTCGCATCGGGCCGGCCAGGAATCGGATCGATCGGATCGAATCGGATCCCCGAAACCAGGATGGCGACGCCAGGAGGTCCAAATTTGGGGCCGTGGCTCGGGCCTCTGGCAGCCGCTTGAAACGATTCCGGCACGCCCTCGGCAAGGCGCAGCTGCCAGAAGGCCTCCCGAGGTTACCGAAAAACTACAACAACGATCAAAAACTAGCAGAATCGGGAAGGGCCGACAATTAAAACAACAAGGCAAAACATACCACGGCGACGTACCCAGACCCTGAACAACTCGCGGCAAACCTAGCTCGGTAGATCTTACCGGAGGTGATAGCGTGACAGAAACACTATATATCTGCGAACGGCATTCGGGAAGTTCGCAGGACACCGGTCACGGGACAAGGACATGGTAGAGATGGATTTGTTGGGCCTCTAGA